GGGAGATCTTCCTCCGGGAGAGACCCCAAACCCGAGGAACACACCGAAACCACAGATCAGATGCAAACAGCAAGAGGGTTTATTAGATGCACAGGTACCCGGGGCCAAGTCTCTCGGAGGACTTGCGCCCCTACCTAGGGCAAAGGGGACTTTTTATGGGATTTCAGGGGCAGAGGCTTGGTTACAGAAGCGAGAAGCATAGTTACAGGGTCCCTATTGGCTGTTTTACAGAAGGCCAGGGTGAACTTGGGGTCGCGTTCTTTAATTATCAGAAGTTTGATGTGTGGCTGACTTGGCCTTGTACAGCGTATAGTGGGTGTTTTTCCAGCCTAGCCGCTTGTTCTTCAAGGCCAGGGGCCCGCCATAAAATATCCTGATATAACTCAACTGTCTTACTCCCAAGGCCGCTGACCCAATTATCCCCCCTATCTTAGGCCGGATGGCTGGCCACAGTTATCTCTTTCTCCCAAGGCCGGCTGGCTAGTTAGTCACAGCTGTGAACTCCTGTTTTTCTGATTCCTTCAGAATGGTGTTTCTTAGGCTAAGTTATTGGGGGGGGGGCATTACATCGGCCCAACGCCCCATGTCCTCATAATGGAGTGGGGGTCTTTCATTCCCCCATTTTCTTTTGTACCAAATGGAATCTTTCATTTTAGGATGGAGAATAAGGGGCCAGCTCCATCTCTGACTGTCTGAGTCTCTGATATTGCTGGGTCAGGATCAAAGCCTGGACAACAGAAACCCTATCCTTGATGAATTGCACCAATCTATTGAGGATGCATGGCCTGAACAATAAAACGAGCAGGAGGATGATTAGGGGGCCCATAATGGTGGAGACAAGGGTCGTAAACCATGGTGACCTTTTGAACCATCTTTCAAACCATCCCTGATGAGACTCGAATAATTGTTGTCTTTGTTTTAATCTTTCTCTTAATTTAGCCATGTTGTCCCTGACTACCCCAGTATGGTCTGCGTAGAAGCAGCATTCTTCTTTGAGGGCAGCACATAAATTGCCCTCTTGTAGGAAGAGTATGTCCAGCCCTCTCCTATTTTGCAGCACTACTTCTGACAGGGATGTCAAGGATTTTTCTAACGCACTAACCGATTCCTCTAGGGCTTTGATGTCTGTATTCATGGCTACTTGGAGCTGTCTGAATTGGCCGGTCTCCATAAGGGCTGCGGTCCCTGTACCTACCCCGGCAGCTATTCCGCCCATGGTAATTCCTCCCAGTAACAGGGCCAGCGTCAGGGAAACAGGCTCTCTTTTAAAACGGGTGTTTTTCATTTCGAAGTGACTATAAATATATTCAGGTTCATGATAAGTAACTTTGGGCCATAATTCTATTAATATACAATAGTCAGAGGTCAAGTTCAGCACTGTAGTGGAGACGCAGGGAGTGAGTCCCGTGTTACATGCCCAAAATGTTCCTTTAGGGGCTGCAAGATAATAAGCCCCTGATGGAAGGGCCTGGGTGGAATTGCAAAGACCTTGGTGGGATGTTGGAATGGTTCCTAAGCAGAGCCCTTGTCCAGAGACTTCGGAGAGAGTCAGCTTGTGCCGGGGGGCGGTGTGGCATCTTGTAAAAGGGGAAGTCTGGTTAGTAAAATTCCCCATAACAGCAACCCCTTCGTAATAAGGGGGACTTGAAATTAGACAAAGCCAGCAGCTTCTGGTTTTGTTTGGGGCAGTGAGGTTGAGGGTTAGATATGCCCCCTGGATTAATTTTAGGAGTCTATCTCCAGTGCCTGGCCTTACAAAGGAAGCAGTGGTGGCCGTGCTGGCTGTAGGGGACAATGTAATAGATCGATGGGGGAGCTGGGCTGGGGCTCTTTCAGGTTGTGAAGGTAACTTCTGTTCTGGGAGAACGGGGTTGGGGCCCACAGGAATGTTAACTGATTCTATCTTTTGTTTTACTTGGAAAGTGAATCCCCTGTCTGTTCCCGTCATATAGAACCTGACTCCCCAAGACCGTCCATCGGTCCATGAAGAGAACTTCATGCTCTTCGGGGTGAAGGAAATGTTTAGTGAATCTTCTCCCTTCTGACTTCGTCCCACCTTGATAAGATCCCAACTGGAGCTAGGCCCCCAGTACGCGTCCCCGGTTGTTTCACATCCCCATTTTGCACAAAAAAAAGATTCTAGTCCCCCACATTTGTAAGTCGTATCCCAGTCCCTTCCGTCCCTAGGGCATACATACAGCTGGGTCTGCTGTAGCTTTTTATAGGCTGACCTCGTTCGGCAGCCAGGTGAGTCGGCTATTTGTTGTCCTTGGGCTGTAACCCCAGTCTGTATGGCCCGTTTCTTTCGAGACATAACATTGTAGCGGTCTGCATTTAGGACAGAGGGCCTATTGGTGTGGGTGTACTCGGGGATATCCCAGATATCCAACCTAGCGACTAGGTCGCATATCTTGGGAGTCAAGTCGGGCCACCATGTGTTAGGAGCGTGTTGAGCAGTCGTGGACCAGACTACATCCCCA